TTTGGACGGCCTCCCTCGGGCGCTCGCCGCTGCCCCTCCGCCCTGGCAGCGCTCCTGGCTGGGATCGGCCGCGACAGAACCTGTGGGCACCGGAAGCGCCCTGCCCCTCCTGTCCTTTGGAGTTGCAGGTGTGCTGGCGGAGGAGGGAGGGCCGGGAGGACGCGCCCCCGCTTCCCAACTTTCACCACCCAGGTTGGCAGAGGACTGCCAGGAAAAGGCAGCTGCTGACTCAAGAGGACAAACCCACTGGGCTCTCGGGGGGCGATTCCCACCTATTTCCGCTTACCTTTCCTCTTTTTGATTTTGGGGAAATTCTTACTCTCCCTTTTACCCTCATACCACAACAGAAAATTAACATGTAAATTAAAAAAATAAGAGTATACACTAAAATCAAAGTATTAAACATGTTTTAAATTAAAAACAGCTTTTCTTGTTATAAAATGTCAATACTACATAAAAGCTTGGAACATCAGGGTCAACATTTAAGGCATCACTTTTAACTTGTTGAACTCACATTAAGTTACCATTAAAATCACTTGTTGACAAAATAAGAACAGCAGGATTTACTTCCCCAAGTTGCTAAAAGACTACAAGCCAGCACACAGTATGTGTTAAAACTATGACCAGGAATTGGGATGTTCTGCAAGGCAGGGCTGGTTCCTCAAGGAAAAAACTACTGTATTGTCAAAAACAAAAGAGAGAATACAAAAGGCAAAATATTGCTGCCCTTAATTTAGTCTTTTAAGATGACACAAGATGTCTCCTTTTTGTTTCTCTCTGCCTCTTTTTACACCCCCAGACTGGGGATAATTGTTTTACAATCTTCAAACAGACTTCTTAAGCATAATTGTTAGAGAAAGTGCATCAAGAAAGCATTTACTACACAACTGCTTTGAGACCAGCTATCACAACATGTCACTTAAAACTATAGTTTCCCATGGATAGTGTAATTTACAAAAATGCAGCTAGACATTTGAATTAAAGGCAGAACCAGCAAGAAGCTGGTGTACTTTTTGGAAGGTAGAAAATTAAGCTTGAATGATTGCATGATCCTCTAAGCAAAGTTTTCTTAGTAGGTGAAAGTGAATGGCCGCAACAGTTCCTCTCTAGTCTTTATTTTTCCCTCTACACACTGCACTGCAAATTAAACCACTTGTCTTTTCATTTCAAAGAGAGCTTTGGATGAACTGTTTTATTCCATTGCAGTCAAGAAAATGCTGTATACAAGACACTCCATATGACTCTGTTATGGCAGATGTTTTTAGGGAGAAGCCCTGCAAATCATTCTAGTCTTCTTTTCCACTTTGAATTAGATGGTGATGGCTTCAAATGCCTTCAAAAGCAAAAAGCATTTTAAACATTTCTAATGGCATTCTTACAATAAAATTATCCATGGATAGTGGAAGTCACTATTTTTATCTGTGTGATTTTCACTTAAAAGGGATATTATTCAATGGGGAGAAAGGTGGCATATGTGTAATTTAAATAAATAAATAAATAAAAATATTAGAGCTCATCACTGTTAGCAGAATTGTTATGCAATTGTAGAACAATGAGTTAGATTGTTTTCATAATGCCATAAAGGCTTATGAAAAAGTGGTTATCGGATTGTTGTGTCTGTAAAAAAGCAGTGGTTCCCACACTTTGACTGCTGATGCCAGAAGCCTGGGGGATTGATCAGGATTTCTGGGAACCATGCAGTCCAGAAACACTCATTTACTTCTATCAAAATACTTTACATACTTTATGCATACAGGTGCTTCCCTTCTATACACTTAAATTTTCACATTTAATGATGCCATTAGAACAACTTTGCAGCATTACTTTATATTCATGGCATTTTGCCTTATGAGTGGGAAAAGTTAAAAAAAATTAAAATGAAACTAAATTGTTTAACTAATAATTTAATTATAAAAATATCAATTTTGTATCCCTCAGAATTTGTTCATCATGGGAAAGGGTCACTGCTCTGTGATGCCTGATTATGTTGTCCTACTTTTTAAATAGATTGTGTGGGGATCTGGACTACATAAGCCAGCTTTGTGTCCACCATGAAGAGGAGTGCACAAATACTTGTCATACAGCTGTGCAAAGCACCACGTATCTTTCCTATGATGATATCCAGGTTCAGTTCTTCTTTTTAACCACTGAGCAACACTACCCTGCTTATCCTGGAGTGGGTGAGAGTCAGTTGTGGTTGTGCCTATGGACTCTGCCTGGCACCAGTGTCTTCCAAAACCTCCTGTCTACCCAGACTTGGTAGTGCTTCCAGGGAGTCCCACAACCCACAAGACTGCGCACTTAGAACTGATGCACCCGCCCTGCAAGCTAGAACTGCCACCACACCCACACAAACACTAACATGCCTGGTAGCTGAGCAAGGAAAAACCTGGTTATAGCACCACAAACACCCTGAGCCAAAAACCTAGTCAGTTGGTTGACGATATTTCTGTATTTTATTAAAAGAAACAATAACAACAACAACAAAGGGGGTTTTCATGTTCCTAAGAAGCATTTAAAAATAACCCACATGGAGTAAAATACAATCCTGGGACAAAGGTAAAGAACAGAACAAAAAAATGACAAAACTGAACTAACTGATACATGCCTTAGTGTAGAGTCAGAGTAGTTCTAAAGCATACACAGAGTGCGTATTTTCAGGCATGTTTGGACAGCATTGTCACTGCCTCCCTTCCAGCCCCCCACCCCACTCTCCCTTCTACCGCTGCTGCTGTTTCTAATTCTTTTTAAGACTGGTCCAGAATAGGGAGAACTTTCACAGAATGGCTGCTGCCGCCCACTGGGAGGCAGGGAGCCGAGGAGTTAGGCAAAGCCTCCAGCCTGAGAGAGAGAATGAACCATCCCACCAGATTTCTGACCCATTTTTATACATCACACCACCCTTTCTAGACCTTTCCAATCAATATTTAAATTAATTGAATGTTTACCAAGACAAAAGCACCTTCTGCCCCTCTCCTTTCACAGGGCTGTAATCCTCCCTCAATTTGCATGGCTCCAGGGAGGAAGCAGAATGGTGTTGATGTTATTCTGAGAAGAGATAAAGTAGAGGTGTTAGTTCCTCCTTGGTACCACTTTGATATTCTATTAAGAAATGTTATTTACCCCTTGTTAATTGGCAGACATTGACACACACACACCCCCGTCACCTTTTGCACAGCTTTCCCTTACAAAGAAACCAGAATTTTCTAAAAGAATTCCAGGTTCCCCCAGTTCCTCAGTTTCTTCACTTCCTCTACACTCCAGTAGAGGCTTTCCACCCACCACACTGTCCACAGACAGCATACATACAAAATTCATCAATCTTCATCATCATCATCATTAATTGATCACACCTCTTCCCTAAAGTCCCACCAACTTTGTTTTGAGTGATTTTTTTTCCCCTGGGAGTTACCTGGTTTAATTTATTGAATAAACCAAGTAACTATAGGCTATTATGCACTTGTAGCATTAAGGTGTCATGATTTTTCGATATCTGAAGGTGTGGGAGTGTTTTCTTTACCTCTGTGACAAAGTGGCAGGAAGAAAGACAGGCAAAGTGCTAGGGAAACATGGTAAAATTACACCAGAAGATAGTCACCTGCCATGAGAGGCTGATGGCATGAGAAGACTCCATCTTCCAGTAAATGCTGCATTTATTTCAACAATCAGCTCTTGTAGACAATTTAAATTCACTTTCTCGAAAGTTCCCTTCCACCCTATTTGCCCATTCTGTCTGACAATTCCTTCCTGAATCTGTCTGTTTGCTTCTTCCTGTTGAAATTCACTGTGTTAGTTTTGGCCCATTCTCCATTCTGTCAAGGTTACTTTGAATTCTACTTAGGGTGTTTCTTCTGTTACCCACAGCCTTCAGTTTTATATTTATGTGGAGGGTCCCATTCCATCTCAGGCAAATACAACAGGATAATCCCACTGGCCACTCTACTTCCTACGTATCACATAATTAGTGTGGATGAAATGAAACAGGCTTTGACAGAACTGTGGGATAGCTCTGTGGTTTAGAGGTTGGGAGTTCCATAAGGTCCCTTCCAGCTCTGCAGCTCTAAAATTATTATCATCAACATATATAAACAGCACATTTGCAGTGTAGTTCTATCCATCTAGGAGAAGGAAAACTCTGATTTCAAACCTCCACTGTCCTGTAGCTATATACGCTCATGGAAACGGCTTCAGGAGTTAACCTAGAGCAAAATCCAGAGCTGTAGTCCCAAAGGCAGTTCGTGTCGTTCTGCCAACTCCTGCTGGAACCAGTTGTATTGGCTCTTGCCTTTCCATTGGACTATTTCAGCGATGTGGAGGAGGGGGATCTGCTGCTTGGGTAACAGCCTATCCTCCATATTACTTTACCCAGGCTTCATGCTCTGGAGGAGACACTCCTCGATACAGAGCATGTTACCATGGTCTCTCGAGACTGAAGGATGCCTATGCTATGCTATGGAGACCACACAACCTTTTCCTTGTTCATAAAGTTTCAGACTTACTGTACGAAACAGAACACCTTTTCCCAAAACAGTTCAATGAGTTCAGTCTTTCATGGCCTTTTTGGAAAGTGTATCTATTCACAAATGAGAGGGATTGCCTATTGTGTGCTCAATGACCTGCAGCCCCTTCTGGAGAAGAACAGTTCCTTCTTCCAGACCTTTGGGGACCGATGCCTTCAGGCAGGCTCTCAACTTGAAACACCTACTGACACAGAAAATTGTGCAAAAAGGTAACACAACATGGAGACGGAGACAGTAGCCAGGCTCCGTTACAAACCGAGAGGTCAGTTGTAACCCTGTACTGTATCTACCATGGCAGCACCATCAGGGATCCCAGCAATGTCAGCCACAACATCTCTTTTACTTGTTCATCTTCAAATGTGATTTCTGCCACAAAGCCTTTCTGCTTTCTACATAAGACCAACAGGCCAAATCCCCCCCTGTAAAAGAATGAACGGACACAAATCGAACGTCAGTGCAAGCAAATTCTCAGCCTCCGAGGAAAAGAGAAAATAATAACAACCTGGCAGGGTTGTTGTAAGAAATATGAAAGTGATTTTAAAAACACTCCAGGAACTTCTAAGCTCCCCGTTTTATAGCTGGTGGCAGCAGCGAGCTTGAGGGAGGGGAGGGGAGGGAGCGGGCCCAGCCCGGCCTGCAGCGAGAAGGGGAAAGCCTGGCCGCGACTGGCAGGGGAGACCCCTTCGTCGTTCTGCCCCCCAACCACTCCCTCCCCACCGCGGCCTTCCTCCGACCAGCTGCGCGGCTCTTCCCCTCCCTCCTGCCAAAGAGGCTCCGGGGGTGAAATAAAATAAAGTTCTAAAGAGGCAGCAGCAGCAGCAGCAGCGGTAGAAGGGAGAGGAGGAGAGGGGCGGGCAGGCAAAAACGGGTGGGGGGGCGGTCGGTCGGTCGGTGACAATATTCCCCCGTTCCCTTCAAATTACTAGTCAACGTGGGAAAGAGGATCTGAAAAGCGTGCTTTCCCAGTAGATGCCTCCAATCTCCCTCCTCCTCCTCTTCTAAAGAGGCAGCAGCAGCAGCAGCAGCGGTAGAAGGGAGAGGAGGAGAGGGGCGGGCAGGCAAAAACGGGTGGGGGGGCGGTCGGTCGGTCGGTGACAATATTCCCCCGTTCCCTTCAAATTACTAGTCAACGTGGGAAAGAGGATCTGAAAAGCGTGCTTTCCCAGTAGATGCCTCCAATCTCCCTCCTCCTCCTCCTCCGGCCCCTTCGTCTCGCGGGGCAAAGAGGGGAAGCCT